GAGGAGGAGGAGGAGGAGCATCTGTGTGCATTTGCTCGCGCGTCCCTGGGCCCCTCCGGAGGAGGAGCTCGTGCAGAGGCTGCAGGGGAGCGGTCGCGGCAGCGCCGGCGACGAGGGCAGCGAAATCAGCAAGCTGAAGGAGAGCCTGCGGAACATGCAGCAAGAGAAGAACGTACCCGTCGGTCGCTGAAAGTGCGCAATCCTCCTCCTCCTCTTCCTCCTTCTCCTCCTCCTCCTCCTCCTCCTCCTCCTCCTCCTCCTCCTCCTTCCCCCTCTCCTTCCCCTCCTCCGCCTGCCCCTTCCCCCTCCTCCCCCCTCCTCCTCACTCCCCCCCCCTGCTCGGCCTCCCGCTTCACTCGTCCTCCCGCTCCCCCCACCCCACAAGTGCATGCGCAGGCCTTGCGGCCGGTCCCGCCGACCCTGAAGGGGGACGTCGACGACGACGGCGGCGGCGGTGGCCGCGACGACGACGACGAAGCGGACGTGGGCCCGAGTCCTCAGGGATGTTTCTTGGGGTCTCTTGGGAGGGCTCTCGGGATGCCCAGGTCGCAATCCACTCTACCCGCCGTCCTACTGTGGGGTTCGAGCGGTTTCCCCCTTTCCCTCCTCTTCAGAGGGCGGGCGGAATCCCAATCTACTTCCGACGCCTTCGTATTTCATGTTTCGACCCAGTTCTTCCGACCGACGGGCACTCTAGGGTCACCGCGAGGGTGCGAAGTTAGTCGCGCTTCGCGATTTCAGAGCGAGGCGCAAGTCCCTTTATGCTGTTCCCAGGGGGGTGGGGCGGCGCGAAAGCGCGAAGAGAATCGCGCGTCGCGCTTCGACGAGCTCGAAGCGCGAAGAGATTCGCAATACCGTCAACCCGCATAAAAAGGATGGGCAACCTTCCCAAGATTACCCTTGCATCCTTGCCTACTCGGCCCATCCTTGGCCGGTTTCGTTGGCCGCGGCCCGCTCGAAAAGTTTCGAAATGGGCGTCCAAGGCCCTTGCATCCTTATCGCGCATCCTTATTATACGGGTTGACTGCAGTGAGGTACTGGTGAACGAGTTCGAGTGGAAGGAGCTCCAGTGGAAGACCCAGATCGAAAACGCGCAGCTGGAGGTCGACGACCTGAAGCGACGGCTCGCCAGCGAGGCCAGCAAGCACCAGCTCCGCATCGAGGCGCTGGAGGCCAGCGCCAAAGAGGCGCTGGAGGCCCGAGCACCTCTCCTCCTCCTCCTCCTCCTCCTCATTCTCCTCCTCCTCCTCCTCCTCCTCCTCCTCCTCCTCCTCCCTCCTCACCTCCCGCCTCCCTCCTCCTCCCCTCCTCCCTCCTCCCTCCTCCCTCCTCCCCTCCTCCCTCCTTCCCTCCTCCTCCCCTCTCCGCCTTCCTCCCTCCCTCCTCTCCCTCCCTCCTCCTCCCTCCTCCTCCTTCCTCTTCTCCTCCCTCCTCCTCCCTCCTCCTCCTCCCTCCTCCTCCTCCCTCCTCCTCCTCCTCCCTCCTCCTCCTCCTCCTCCTCATCTCCTCCTCCTCCTCCTCCTCCCTTTCCCCCCCCTCCCCCCTCCTCCTCCTCCTCCTCCCTCCTCCTCGTTCCTCCTCCAGCCGCCACAGGAGGCCAGAGCACCGCCACCGAGCCCCCCGCCGGCACCTGCCGAGCCCGCCCTCGCCCTTGGCTGGCTCCGCTGCCCGGTGCGCAGCGCCGGGCCGCCCCGGGTGGAGCAGCCCGCCTTCTGCCAGGAGCAGCCAGCTTCGCTGGGAGAGTGACCCTTCGCCAGGGTGACTTTTCAAGCAGTGGCGAAGCGCCCTGGCTCGCCTATAGCCCCACAAAATAATGTTCTGAGAACCGTTTGTGGTTTCCAGGGGATGTTCTTAGAACATTTCTGGTCGAGACTGTCTTGTCTTAACACATCGGGAATATGTTCTAAGAACATTGCTTTTGTTCTTAGAACATTTGAGGTTTCTAAGAACATTTCGTGGTAGGATTATAGGAATGCCGGGGCGGTCGGTCCCTGCTCAAACTCTTCTAGTGCAGGCGCACAGTCAGAGCACAGGACAAGGTGCCCATGCCACTGCCGTGCGCCGCCGCTCTCCCCCTTTGGGGGGGGGCCTCCTGGGAGGCCCTACGTCGGAACGCGCCCCGGGAGACGTCCGGGGAGCAGCGGCATCGGCGCTTTCTGGTGTCCCCACGCACGGGTCCCCTTGGCATGGACTTGCGCGCTCGGGTGTGGACCGCGCGCTGAAGGCCATTCTTGCCCAGGGTCATTCTTGCGCGCAGCCGAGGAGACCTGCTGGAAGGTGGTCACCGAGATCTCGGGCATCGTCGCGCTCTGGTGCTCCGTCAGCGAGCACGTTATCAAGCAGGCCTCCAGGGAGGCGAACCGCCTCTGGGGCTCCTCGATGCTTGAGGGGAAGTCGGTGTTCTCCCTGGCCAACGGGCCTTCCAGCGCATCGTGGCTCAAGAAGGCGTTCCAGTCCCACCAGCGCATAGCGGACATGGGCCAGACAGATCGAGGCATCCCTGGGTTCATCGTCCGGGACCTGGGCTCGGAGACCTTCGCCTCCAAGAACGGTGACCCCTTCGACGCCTCCGTCATCACGGCGCACTTCGCTGCCGAGCCAGGGTGTTCAGGGGCAGCGTTAGGGAGGGGTAGCCTCAGGGGGAACGCATCGATCCCCCCATCGCCCATTCATCGCCGACCAGGCTTCCGAGCATTAGCCCACCTCGCCCAGGGGCGTGCGGTCTCGCTGCTGGAGGCCTGTCGCTGATGCATCGGCGAGGTACCTCGGCGGCGCGACCAGTGGGCAGGGCCGCGGGGGCGAGCCTTCTCGGAAGGCGCAGACGGCCTCCAGCCTTCTGGGGGCATGTCTAAGCCTTCTCCGACGCCGCACTGGAACCCTCGGAAGGCCAGATGGCTTCTGAGAAGCCCTGCCTCCTAAGAAGACCTGCCCCCCGCCCCCCCTCACTTACCATCTCGGCGCGCCGTCGACTGTCGCCGATGCATCAGGAATGATCAGGGGGCCAGGTGGCACCACTTCCCCCTACCCCCCCCCCCTGGGCGAACTCTCGGGGAAAACCCGTTTGACTTTTTTGCACCCACCCTACAGCCGACGCGCCTCGCAGGGAAACATTTTTTTCCACCACCCACCCTCCCTCCGCGGAGCCAGAAAATTGGGGATCCCCGTTTTGGCACTGGCCGGCGGCATTGTTTTCGACATACACCCACCCTCCGCGGGCCAACAGAATTGTGGACTGCGATTCGCGTTGAACATCATATTTCCGCGCCCACCCACCCGCCCACCGCACCCCCGCCCCGCCACCATGCGGTATCCGCGGCCGGGCGGGCGGGCGGGCGGCCATGTCTGTACCTTCTCAGCTGGATCGCCCCCACATCCCAGACCCTCAACGTCATGGTTTTCCCAAACCACCCTGTGGTGCTGGGTCCTCGTCTTGAAGATAGGGCCGAACGAAAGGGGGGGTAGGGAAAGGGGGGGTTACGAAATCTGCTGCATGCAGCTGGTTTCGGCCCCGCCGCCGGGCCCATCCCTCGATACATGGGCGCCTCCCGGCGCTGGGAGGCGCTGGGAAAATTAGCTACGTGAGCTGACTCACTACCCTACCCTTTGCTATCTCCCCCCTCTCGTCCCCCCCGAGAAGAGACAGCGCCCCTCTTCCTCCTCCTCCTCCTCATCATCATGAGCTACGTGGACTCCTCATCATCATCAGCAACATCATCACCATCATCATCAGCATCATCATCATCCCATCCCTGCCTCCCATTACCATTACCATTACCACTACCCCTACCACTACCACTCTGCATGTCTCTGTTTCAGCACACCTCTCACACGTTCCGTGGCCCCATAGCCCCATAATGGAGCCCCACCGAATTCCCCAGCGGCAGTGGTCCGCATGGCGCACCCGCACCCAATGCGGCACACCTCTCACACGTCTCGTGGGCCCTCGGGAGGCCCCGAAAACTAGCCGAGACCTCCCGCCAGTTTTTCCCATCACGAAATGGGGTGTGGGGGAGCTGCTGGGCCCTCCCTAATTGCCCCACTCCGCCCGTGAGTGACATCTGCCGATGCGGTTTTTCTTCAACCCGCCGCCCCAGAGATCCCGACCGCTCCCCAGGGCGAAGGTGTTCGGCGCGGAGCGGTTTTTTCGATGGCCTTAAGGGGCCAGACACTGAGACCCTGGCGCTGCAATGTTTCCACAACGGCCGTTTCTGCGAAGTTCGGTGCCCGGGACCCTCACGGGTCGATCCGGCTCAAAACATGGCGCAGAAAGATGGGGTCCGGGGCTCCTGGCGTGATTTCTGGCGATATTTTTTGTTTGTTGCAACGTCGGATCTCCGGGGAGAGCAGATGCCTCGACTTCGGATCCGGCGACTTCGCAAAGCGGGCGGGATTTTCTGCCCCATTGTTCAAGCGCCGCTCATACCGATGTCTGCCCTACTTTGCAGTCGCTGTTTCCGCCATTCCCTTTCGGAACTACTACCAGCCATACTTGTCTGAGGCGGGAATATACGCCTCCTTGCTCGAATTGTTTGGGGCGCATGCCCGACACGGTCTTCAGGCCAGAGAACCAGCCGAAGTGCGACGGAGCCGAAGTCAGGGTGCCCCCCCGAGGGCCGAAGTGGTGGAACCTGCCAGGATTCCAGAGGCCACATCGTTGGCGGAGCTCTGGGCCCGGTAAGGCTCCCGGGCTGCGGACAGACAGGCCCACCAGGTGGCCCTGGTGAACCTCCACGGGTCTCCTGAGCAGTCCCAGCCCGCCTCGGCAGGCCCCCGGAGCAGTCTGAGGCGGTCTCAGCACCTCAACTCCTGGGGCGCCGGCGGCGGTGCCGAGGTGTGGAAACCGCCCCGGGCCATGTTGTGGCCCCCTGCTGGGCCCATCCGGGGCCTGGGACTATTGGTGGGGGCTGGTTGATGCCAGCCTGGACTGCGGCCATCGAACACAGACACACACACACACACAAACACACACACACACACACACACACTCACAAACACAACAACAAGAAATGAAGGGGCCTCGGCCTTTCTGGCCACGGCGGGCCTATAGGCCTCAGACAGGTTCTTCGACATAGATCTGAGGAGCGGCCCGAAGCCGAGCCGCCCCTGAGCCCTGAGCGGTCGTCACTGAAGCGTCCTAGCCCAAAGCCTTACCAGCCGGAGATTCGCCGGGCCTGTCGGGGCCGCACAGCAACGGGGGGCACGGGGAACGCCGATGGCTCGCTGGGCTGTGCTGATGTTCCGGGGGCCCTGGTCGCCACGGACGGGGGCACAGAAACCATGCGCAGATGGAAAAGACTCGGCCCCCGTACCCAGACCCCCGACGTCGTGATTCTTTTCACGTCGGCCCCCAGAGGTCTGGACCCCTTCCCCGGACCGGTTTCTCATCTTTTGCCATTTTTGACGCTCCTGGGGCCCGGTGAGGGCCCCCGGGGGCCAAGAATAACGACAAGCCGGCCGTCTCGATTCTTCCACAACGCGAGGGGATCTGGGTCGTGCGTGCTCCGGCAAAAAAGTGCCCCCGGAGCCCGAACATGGCGGAACATGCCCCGTCGTTCTTTTTTCACAGCGCGAGGGGGTCTGGGTAGAGCTGTGCCCCCGCCTCTGCGCGAGGCCCCTGGGCCCTCGCCCCCGAGGTGCGGGAGGCCAGGCGGGGTGCTGGTCATCCTGGAGCGCCTGGAGCTGAAGCCAGCCCTCGGCGGCTCCGCGGCGCACGCTGCGGGCTTCGCCGAGGGCGCGCAGCCGTCTCGCCCCAGGACCAGGGGCGGGGAGGAGCCGTGGCGCGACGCGGGGCTACGATAGGTTCGCGCGGCATTGGCGCGCCAGCGACGCTGGCGGAGGCGCTCAAGGTTGAATTCTGCGACGCGGAAGCACCGGTGGACACGGTAATGCCATTGTGCCCGGCTGAATTCAACCTTGAACGATCGGGGCCGCGATCGATTCAAGGTGGAACGATCGACGCGGTGTCAAAAACCTTTGCGCGCGCCGACGCCGCAGGAACCTATTGTACCCTTGAGTCGTGCCTGTCCCTCTACAGAAGGAATCTTCCAGAATAGGTAAACAAGATTGTCAGGGGACGGTTTGTCTTAGCTTTGCTTGCTTATTGTGTGTTTGCATGCTTTGGGTATGTGTTTGGTTTTTCGTCCAAAGTTCCCCTGTAGGAGGACATGCCCGACCTAAAGCTACCCATGCATGAGGCGATCCAGAACCTCAGAGATCCGACGCTCCAACAACACTGCAGCGGCCGGTTTCTGGCCGTTTTCGGCCTCCGGGGGCCCTCGCCTGCCCGCGCCCGAAAAAAAACACGGATGAAGAGGCGGATCGAGGAGCAGGAGGCCGGCTAGAGGGGACAGGGGCGAGAGCACGGCTGCGTGCCGCTTGGACCGAGCGTGTAGCCAGCACGGGGTGCTGCAGCAGGGGGTCGGGAGGAGGAGGAGGAGGAGGAGGAGGAGGAGGAGGAGGAGGAGGAGGAGGAGGAGGAGGAGGAGCGACGAGATGGCGATTCCGGAACGACTTGTAAGGAAGTCCAAGGCGAAACGGCTGCACTTGTCACACTTAGCTGAACCCTCGAGCGAGACGTTGTTGGGAAAGCACAGTAGTTCTGGATCAGAGCGTCTCGTCAGCGGTCGGGCTTGTCCAACGGACGAGCTTTGAGATTCTCTATCGTTTTCGTCAGTTCTCTACGGTTTTCCAGCCTCAGGATGCTTTCCAGCAGCTGCGCCTCGCCGAGAACGTTCTGGGGGTGCCCAGATCGTTCCGAACGGCCACCGGAAAGTTGAGCTATGACCCGGAAGCCAGGGGGCAGGTGATGCCAGGGAGACCGAAGCACTGACCTGACTCGTCGCGTCGGGATCTCGAGACGGCATTTCCACGGCTGATTGGCAAGGTCAGTGCTCGGGCGGCTCCCGTGGCACGCAAGCTTGGAGCCCAGCTCTGCCTCGATTGTTTGCCGTTCCCTAGATACCGTTTTAGAAGATGATCCTGACCTCGGAGTAATGCTCGGCCTTCTTGGGCGGCCGAAAGATTATCACCAGAATCTGGCCCATGTTGCTCGCCTTCGCGTCGGCCGCCCCCGCCCAGTCCGTGCTCGCGCTGCAGGGGTGCCCAGGGCTTCCGCCAGGAGATCCTCCGCCGCGGTGGGCGCAACCGCCGTCCTCTCCTGCCCGTCCGCCGCCCCTGCAGCGGGGGTGCCCTCCGAGCGCGGCCGCGGCAGACTGTGCGGCAGCGACTTTCGTTCCTGCGGGCCCCGACGGGAGGCGTGATTCGCCTGTCGCTGCCGTAGGCGCCCTCTGCGTGCTCCGACAAAGACAGCGGGCGCCGCCTCACCCAGACCCCCGACATCGTGATCTGGTCACGACGTCGACACCCAGAGGTCTGGACCCGGCCCCGGGGACCGGTTTTTCATCCCGAGTCGTCTTTTGACGGTCCCCAGGCTGCCAGGGCCCGGTGAGGCATTCCCAGGACTGGGAATACGAGCCATCAGGCAAGTGGCATTTCATCGGTTCGCGCGGAGACTCATCACAGCAGTCTTCCACGCGCAAGTGGTTGTGCAAAGGGTGCGGGACGCACAACCTGTCGAAATCGGCGTGCGTGGTGTGCGGCATTCGCCGTACCTGGGCAGAGGTGGCTTCGACGCCCCCGGAGGCCTCCACGCAGCATCCCAAAGCTGCGACGACTACGACTTCGCAGGCCTCCAACAGGCCCAACGAGCAGTTGGCCGCCATTGCGGAGAAGCTGAAGCACGCCACTGCCGGCAACATCGAGGTTCCTGGAGCTGCGACGGCTCCCCCAGCCGGCACGCCGTCGCCGAACGAGCCGAAGGACCAGGAGATGGTGGAAGCGAGCAGCCCGCTTGGCAACCAGGCGGAGAACGTGTCTTCGCGGCCTCAGCTGGTGGCGTCGGTCAAGCAACTCGAGGCGGCGCTGCAGGCCATCCCCGCGGGGACTGGGTGCGATGCCACACGAGCCATCCTCAGGGAGCAGCTGGAGCAGAGACGCCGCCAACTTGGCGAGACAAAACCCGTGGGGAAACGTTTGGACGGGGCGCGAGCTGCGCTGGCTCGTGCCACCACGCGCCGCGAGACTGTCAACGAAAGCGTGGCCCTCGCGTTGGCAGCCCAGGAGGCGACGCTCAAGGAGGTGGAGCACCTGCGGAAGGAGGTGGCCTCGCTCGAGGAGCAGATCGCTGCATGAGCCCTTCAGGCCCCGCCGCCACCACAGTCCACATAGTCCACGATGGACAAGCTGGAGGAAATGCTGAAGGAGGCTGTCATCGAGCTGGAGTCTAGTGTGGTCTCTGGCGGTGCCGTGGCCGAGGCATCCAAGCGGTCCCCCGACCTCCTGGAGCGCCTCAAGGCGACAACAGGTCAGAGAGTGTCGGCTTGAGCACTTCTCCGATGTGCTTCGTGGCTCTGGCCCCTCGCCGTCCCAGCTGCGCGAAGATCCTTTGCCTCCACGGCGGCTCCGGTCTTGCATGGACGTTGGCCCCGTCGCGACATCCAAGGCGTTCGGCCGCCGCGGCAGAAATAAAGGGCGCGGATACGACGGCATACCCGCAGAGCTTCTCCAAGCACGGGGTGATGCTGCAGCTGTCATGTTTTCCGACATAAGCGCCCGGGCGTTCAGGAACGTTTCTTGGCCTCAGCAGTGGCGCGGCGGGCGGACGCAGGAGGTCTTCAAACGCAAAGGCGACGCCAGGGTTCCCGATCAGAGCCGGGGCATCCTGCTTGCCGACCACTCCAGCAAAGCCCTGGCAGGCATGATCGAGGACACCGTCGACCCCGTCTACGAGCAGCGCATCCCAGAGACAGACAAAGCATCCCTGATCGCGCGGCTGGCGGTCGAGCTGGCGCACGCCAAGAATATGTCTATTCTCATGATTTTCGCCGACCCGACGAAAGCCTTGACAAGGTCGGCAGAGAGCTGGTTTTCGGGCGGGGCCCTCGGCCGCCGTCTGATCGCGAAGGCTACCTACGCGAGCTCGGGGTCTCAGAAGCAGCAGCGAAGTGGATGATAAAGCATATTGCCGAGCGTTGGCACCTCCTGCAGCAGTGGCAGGTCGACGCTGCTGGCCTTTGCCATTCGCTTCACGCCGGTTCATAATGTGTTGCTGGAGTGGATTAGAAGGCGAGCGCCACGACAGGAGGCCGCCAAGGCTGCAAACCCGGCGCGTTCGCATTTAATTATGTCTATGCTGCACCTTGGATGTACTCGCCTGGGAATTGCAAAAATCTGGAGTCACGTTGCACCCCCCCCCGTCCCCGACACCCCATTTTGGGCGCGCAAGATGGAGTCTCGCTATGACCCATCCCCAGCGTCTGTCGTCGATGCCACATCCGTCGGCGACGAGTGTCTTGTTCTTCTTTCCTCCTCCTGTGCCTCCCTTGATGTTGCCATCGACAGTTTGTTAGGAAATCTGTTTTGGATTTTCGAAGACCTGCGCTTGGCGATCAACATTGCCCCCGGGAAGACGGAGGCCCCGTCGTGGTACAGGGTGAAGGGAGCGGGTGCGCACCGTGAAGCACGTCGGTGCGCTGATGGCCGGTCGCGGCTCCGTGTCCCCCAGTCATTCTTTCAGCATCGATATGGTAGAGCACTATCTGCACCTTGGCACTTTCGCGGGTCTTGATGGCGAGTGTTTTACTAACGTCGCGCACCGGTGCTCCAGCGCCATGGCGGCACACGGCCTTTTGGCCACCAAAGTGTTTGGGTCTACGTTGGTACCGCACCCCCGCAAATTCTGTTTCATGCAGTCGCTGGTGCTGTGAAGGTTGTCTATTGGAGTGTTCCTCACGGTTCCGCGCCCGAAGGAGATCCAGCCATCCAGTGCTGTATATACATATCTATATATATATATATATATATATATGTATATGTATATATATATATATATATATATATATATATATGCGTCTTGCGTCGCCTTGCTGGCGAGTCCCGTTTTCCTCGGATGTAAAGTACGGACCGGGAGGTCTGGTTACTTTTCTGGGGGCGGATCGTCCGAACGCGATCGCGGGCATTTCTTGCTCTTCTGCACGTGCGCGTCAATGGCGTTCCATTGCCGTGGGCGCGGCAGATGCTCAAGGGTGCGGAGCATCTTCGCTCCCTCCCTTTACCTCCTGAATTTCCCTCCCCTGTTGATGCCCCAGCTCAGTGGAATGACTTTCTCCGGGACAAATCTGGGTGGAACACCATCGTGTCCAATTTGTTCTACGTGGAGTCTGCAAGTGATTCACACAAGTGCCCCGCCCCAGATGTAGCTCTCACGTGGTTTCGCGACCAGTGCGAGAAAGCGGTTGCGACCGATAAGGTTCCGATGAGCCACCGTCGCGCGTTGGATGAACGGCTGGATGTCAGGAAGCACATAGGCTCTTATGTTTGCCCAGCCTGTGAATCCGAATTCGGCCAGCGCTTAAGACTGTTGGCCCATTCGTCTGATTCGAGGCGTCCTCGATGCGGGGACTGAATTGTACAGCGCTGCCTCCGGCTCCCGCCCCAGCTGGTCGCTCTACTAGATGACGAAGACCGTCGTCTCCAGAGGGAGGCCCAGCGTGCCGGCCGTTCCCACCGCATTGCTGTTGGGCCCGCACGCCGTGCTGACGGAAAGATCGTTGGCAGAGGCGCTCAATAGTGGACCCTGCGTCGTGTGTATTTTGAGCTAGTCTTTGAATGCCCAATTGGATCCCTTTGTCTGCTGACCTGAGGCTGCACTGATTGCACTCTATATTTACACACATACATACACAGACACACATACACACATACTTGTGTAAACATGTCGGTGTACATGGATGTGGGTATGTATGTGTGTACGCATAAATGTATGTATGTATGTATGTATGGTTGTACGCATCTGTGTCAGTCGGTAGGTAATTATGTATGTATGTCTATGTGTAAGGATGCATGTGTGTATGTATGCATGCATGCGTATGTGTGTATGTATGCACGCATGTGTATATGTATATAAACATATAGATGTAAACATATCGATGTGTATGCATAGAGGCTATGGCACGAGTCGCCCAGAGCACAACGAGGACATCTTTCAGCTGGCTGTCCCATTTCCGCCCCACAGTAGCTATGTGCGCCGCGTTCCGATGACCGCGGGTGCGCTGAGGATGCCGCTTCAGCCAGAAAGCGGCGCACCTGCGCATTGCCGTATCATGGAAAGGACGTCGCAGGGAAAAAAGGCAGTATGTCCCCAACCGTGTATGGGGGTCTTCCACTTGCATTTTATCCATCGAACAGCGTCGAGATTGTGAGCGTCATTGCGTTTGGTGTTGCCTTGTCACCTTTTTTATATGTATCTTCTCCGAAATGCTAGAGTCACTTTATTCGGCTCTGCCTTTGCCTGGTGTTTGTCAGGTCTCCCGGCATGGGGCATTCAATGGCTTGGTTTTTCTTACCAGCGTCAGTAACCATCATCGGTGGTTCCACTGTGTTCTGCATTCGCTTGTACAGTGTTCTTGTGGTGCATTCACTTTCGGTACATGTGCTGATTTGTGTTTCGCTGTCCCAAGCCACCTTGTCTATTATCCTCGTGGCTCACATATGGTTTGCACACGGGTGCCGTCCGCTGCAGGCTTCGTCGCCGGCGCGATGGAGTTCTCCGTCGCTGCGATGCAGAGGGGAGTCTTCGAAGTGCGGTTCGCACGTTCTACGTGGAGTGGAGATCGGGGCGTGGGCCCGGAGATCGTGGACGGGCCGCGCTGGTGGGTGACGGGCCCGCCTGGCCGGCAGAGGTCGGCCCGCGGCCTGTCGCGGCATTGTCATCCCGCCAGGGGGGCGGGGGGGCGTCGTGGTAGGGTACCTATCATGATGGTGGCTCCCCAGGGGCAACCGCACATACCGCTCTGACCGGTTAGCGCTTGCAATATACGGCACAAACATGTTTGATGTTGTTGTATATATACACCTATACATAGACTCGTGTATATATGTACATGTTTAACGATGTGTAGTTGTGCACGTGTATGTTTGCACGTATGGGTACACATGCATGCATATTTGCATGGTGCATGTATGCATAGATGCACATTTCACGCATCCAGGTACAGCCGTACGAGCACATATATGTATAGACATACATGCACATTTCACGATTAAAAGAAATCCCTGCCAGGGGCGCGCCCTCCCAGAGGGGCCACCGCCGCGGGGACAGCACCTCGTCGGAGGTGAGCAGCGTGAGCCCCAGCGACAGCGCGAGCAACGTCTTAAGATTTTCCAGCGCGTGGTGACGGCGCTGCTTGCGCCGGCCTTCGAAGCGGGAATCATTCGGTGGCAAGCGATGGGGGGAATTGAGCAGGATAAGGTTTTTTTTTCCAGGCTGCGGCGGGACTTCTCAGAAGGCCTGAGGCCTGCTGAGAAGTTCTCTTCGTCTTCGGGGAAGGCCTCAAGAAGTTCTAGGCCGGGGGTCTTCCGAGCCTTGTGAGAAGGCCTTTTCATTTTCACTTCCCCCCGGGCTCGTCGCCGGATCATGGCATAAGAATCACAGAATCGGAACTCCGCGCGGTCATCTCTGATCGGCGCCCGGGCCCCCCTCGCGAAGCCTTCGGCGCCGTGTGTTTGGCGCGCTTCGCGCGCGAGAGAGACATCTGCACGGACCGTCGAATAGTCATACGTGTTCGCGCCCTTTTTTTTCATCTTTCCTTTAGCCAGCCAGCTAGCCCGGCAGCTTGCGCAGGGTCTCCACCACCTCCTCGTAGGAGAGTGCCCGCCGCCCCCTCCTCCTCCCCAGACCCCCATCGCGTCGTGACGCGCATCAGTGCGGGGGGGGGGGTGTTTCAGGCTTTCGGCCTCTTGGGGCCATAGACGAGCATCCGGGCCGTCAAAAGACGATTCAGGATGAAAAATGAAAGGCCGGTTTGGGGGAATGGATCGAGTTTTCTGGGGGTCGACGTTACGGAACAAATATGGGTCACTCAAGCAGGCTCTGCTGCTCCGCTTCAGACCCTGTGCGTTGGCGCCCCGTGTCGGGCATTCTGCTGGTGCAGGGCCGTGCTGCCCGATCTTTGAACCACCTATGCGCTTTGGACTCGCGGGATGCGGCGCGCATGGGCGAAACGCAGCTCGGCAGGCATGCTCAGTCAGTTTCCCCCTCCTTTCACCTGCCCTTACGTTTTTAGTCTGTCTCCAGCTCGGCGCGGCAGCCGCAGTCCGGGAACGAAACACTTGTTTTGGAGCAGGAGTTGCAAGCGCAGGGGTCGGTGGAATCGATCCTCCTTGTTCAGCTGGCATTAGGACTGGCTTCAGTGGCAAGCGCAGTACGTACATTCTGCATGTCCTTGCCGCGGGCGCAGAATCGTTCTACGGTTCCAATTGCTTGACGCTTCGCGTATCTTCACTGGCCCCTTCAGAAATAGTCACCATTGCAGTTGCCCTGGCAGAGGAGCGAAGTAGCATGCATTCAAACAGCACATGTTGTTGCCGCCCTCGTCTTCGGACCTCTTGGTGGCGTCGGCGGCGGAGTCGTCCTCGTCGGCGTTGTAGTCCTCCTCGTGACTGGCGTCGTCCTTGTCGCCGTCGTTGTAGCCCGCTGTTCGAAGGCTTCCCAGCGGTGGCGCCAGACGGCACATGCGCTAGGATCTGGTCGTTCGGGCAAGTTGTGATTTGGCCTCTGCGCAGTTTCTCACGGTGCCCGTGCAGCCTCATCGCTCAGCCCTTCTCAGGGGCCGACCCCGCCTCTGGCCCGAGCTGCCTGGGACCAGCCCGGGCACGGGCCCCAGGTGGCCTCTTCCTCCTCCTCGATCCTCCTCCTCGGTCGTCCTCCTCCTCCTCGATGGTCCTCCTCCTCCTCCCCCTCCTCCTCCTCCTCCTCCTCCTCCTCCTCCTCCTCCTCCTCCTCCTCCTCCTCCTCCCCCTCGAATCTCCTCCTCCCCTCAGCCCCCGTGGAGCGGGCGCGGGGAACCTCGAGGTTCGACGCCTGCATGACATGACAGGGCGTCGGGGCCCCCAAGGGCCTGGGGAACCCCACCAGGCCCGGGGGCAGCACACTCTCCCAGAGCTCCCCCCCCCTGTAGGCCTCTTCCGTCCAGGGTGTCTGCGACGCACTTTCAGGCCTCAAGGGACTTCAAAAAAGGCTCGGGAGGACGCCTGTCCAGGGAGATCACTCAGCTTCAAGGGAGATCACTCAGCTTCAAGGGACTTCAAAAGGGCCTCTGCCACTTCCGTCCAGGGAGATCACTCAGCTTCAAGGGACTTCAAAAAAAGGCTCGGGAGGACGCCCGCACGCTGCCAAAACGGCACAGGGCCGTTTTCGCCGACACTGGCGCGTAAGCTGCCCGCGTAATGTCGCGCGTAAGCACCCTCGTCTCCGATGCAGCGTGCCGCGCCGGCGGCCCGCGTAAGCCACCGCGTAAGGTCGCCACGTCGTGTCGCGCAAGACCCGTTTTTGATCGTTGCCCGTGTGCATTTCCTCGAGGTGGATGGCCCCTGAGGGCAGTGGAGAAGACCACAAGATGCCCCCGCCACACACACACACACACAGCGCCTGGATCGAGCCAGACAGGGGCCCCAGAGCGCTTCTAGACAGTGGCGCGCAGGCCGCCCGCGCAAGGTCGCGCGTCAGCGCCCTTGTTATCCACGCGGTGCCTCGCGCTGGCGGCCCGCGTACGCCACCGCGCGAGGTCGCTGTGTGATCTCGCGCAAGAGCCGTAAGTGGCAAGCTCGGGGACCTCACGCTTGCCTCTTCGTGCTGGAGTGGCGCACTGGTAGCAGGTGCGAGGACAGAAAAACAGGAGGGCCCTCACAGAGCCGCGGCATGCGCCGAGCCGGCTTGAGAGGTCCTCACCATCGTCCGAGCCCCCGAAAAGCATCCACAGCAATACCAGATGGGTTTGCTGCACAGATTTTGATCATCACCCGCAAAAAGCATTAACCTTGCGAGCACACTGAAGACTCATTAGCTTAACTCAGGTCCCCGTCGTGGTACGTCTGCTGAAAAAAAAAGCCCCCCCATCCTTAATGTTTTGGGCCTCTTAACGTAATTCCGTTCCCAAAGGGCTGCACTGGACATCCAGAGAAGAGGCTCAAGGAAACCTACATCCCAAGCAGGCCCATTTCGCTTTCAGTATCCACCTGCACCAGCCCAGGACAGGTCGGAGGTTCCCATGACGGCCCCCCCTGCACCCGAGTGTAACCCCCCAAGATTCCGCAGGGATGTCTTCATCGCCTGAGGAGAACCTCAGGAATGCCCCTAAAAAGGGCCCTGGGACGGCTCAAGAGGGCGCCGAGTCGGCCGATCAGGGCCCCCGCAGAACCGCAAGACGTGCCGCAAGAGGTCTCGCGACCCCCTCGATAGGCGCCCCAACGCCCCCAGCAGGAACCCAGGGGCCCCTATGAGACCCTCTCAGCGCCCCCCGCGATCATAACGAGAGCCCTCCGACACTCAGATAAGAGCCCCCTGAGCGGTGTTACGCGTTTCGCAGGCTCTGGGCCCGAAGGCTCTCTCTTCGGGCATCGCCCCCCCCCTTGGGAAGTTGCGGGGAGGGCCTCGTCTTCGAGGCCTCGAGGGGTGGGGAGCCCGCGAGACGCACCCGAGAGGTGGGCCGAGTGCCCGCGGGAGCCGGCGAAAGCACACGGCGAGGGCGGCGTGCCCCGCGGAAGCAGCACTGGCCTCTCGCGAGAGGCCGACGCCTGAGATCTCCTGAGCCTCGGTTAGGGGAACACAAAGTGGCATAAACAGAACAACTCGGTTAGTGGAACGATTAAACAAAACAAGTTTTCTGCTATTTCTGCAATTTTCTGACTGGAGGAGAACGATTAAAAAATAGTTTTCCAGCACGCGGCCGGTTTCTTCTAATCGTCATCCCGGGCGCCGCCGCGTGAACACGACCCCCGGTCATTTATTAATCGTCATCATCCATTAGGGGAACCAAGAGTGGCATAAACATAAAAACTCGGAGGTCCGCGCGGATTGCTCGGATCGGCGCTGGGCCCCCCCGGCGGCGCCTCCGGCGCCGCCCCCTGGCGCGCTCGGCGCGCCAGGGAGGAGGGTCCAGCGCCGATCCGAGAAATCCGCGCGGACCTCCGAGTTTTTATGTTTATGCCACTCTTGGTTCCCCTAATGGAGGATGACGGTTAATAAATGACCGGGGGTCGTGTTCACGCGGCGACGCCCGGGATGACGATTAGAAGAAACCGGCCGCGTGCTGGAAAACTATTTTTTTAATCGTTCTCCTCCAGTCAGAAAATTGCAGAAATAGCAGAAAACTTGTTTTGTTTAATCGTTCTCTCCAATTTTCTTATTAATCGCCATCCCGCATTATTGGTGTTTCATGTTGCAGGCCCAATGAGTTGTCGATTCCACTGCTCGCGCAGACATCCCGCCCTGCGCCCCGCATCTGTTTTGCAGAGCCCATGCGGCTGCGATCGCGGCGACTGTTCGGCGCTCGTGGCGCACCTCTGCGGGCTCGCTGGCGCGCGCAAGCTTGCGCACAGAGCGGCTGGCCGGTTAGTCACAACTGACGCGGCCGCGATGGCGCTTACCGATGGGAATTCCCCACCGCGTCCCAGATGCCGAAATGGCGCGCGTGCATGTCAGTGCGGGTCGAAGCCTCGAGCGGGCGCGACATCATGATGGCGTTGTCAACGGCGGCAACGGTTATCATAGTAGCGACGCTGGTGGTAGTGATGATGATGACGATGACGACGGCAAGACAATGACGGTGCCTATCTTGGTGACGACGACTACGGTGATGACATCCATGTGTCGGTGATGAATATGATGTATTGACGATGGCGGCAATGTCGGCACTTGGCGATGACGATGACGGCGGTGATGCGGTGGCGCCGATGCAGGTGATGATGAGGAGGTGGACGATAAATCGGACAAGTTACTGTTCAAACCGAGTTGGTTGTTTCACATGCATGTGAAGAGCTATAGCTTAAACTGCGTCGGAAGCAGACCAACAAGGGTTTTGCACGGATTTCGAACCGCGCGCGGCAGCGTGCGCTTGAGGACCGCGTGGTATTATTCGGCATGGGTTCATGCACGTGGCGCATGCACGGACAGCGCAAATGCACCGAGTGGTGAGGTGAGACTGCGGGTTTGTGATGTGATTGTTCACATCATTATGGTTGCTAGTTCAGCAAGTATGCGCGACATTGTCACAGGTTAATGTAATCACGTAGGACACGTTTGCATGCATGTTGACATTCTGGCACAGCTGGATGTGTTCGGTATGAACTCGGGATGTGCACGCGCGTGCGGACGTCGTTCCATAGTTTACAAGGGACTCTTGCAACATGTTGCTTCAAGTTAAACGATCGTGTGTTTGCACTGTGCTAGCCGGCAGGTCTGAAGGATGGCCGTCGCATGTGGCAGGAGATGAGCTCAACTAAACCATGAGCGGGGGGGCACATCTCATGCACGCTGGCAAGTGCAATGTCCAAAACAGGGAGCCGTGAAGTCCAGGGGCAGCGGGGGCGAGGTGGTCGTGTAAGAGCCGGGCGGCGCGGAGGAGAAGGAGGAGGAGGAGGGGGAGGGGGAGGAGGAGGAGGAGGAGGAGGAGGAGGAGGAGGAGGAGGAGGAGGAGGAAGAGGAGAGGGAGGGGGAGGGGGAGGGGGAGGGTGGTGCGCGCTACGCGGTGTAAGCTCAGCGCACGGGGCGCCCACGGGCGCAGGGCTCACTTCGACGCTTCCGACTCGATCCGCTTCGATTCCGACGGATTCCGACTCCGATCCGATTCGGTTTCGGATTCCGATCTGGATGCCGAATGAAAGGTAAAGTTAAAGACGGCCGCCACGGCCGTCTCCCCGCCGCCATCGCTCCCAAGCCCGCACCCTCCAGCGGCGCCCTCACGGCCATGCGCGCCCAGCACGGGAGGCCGAAGGACGGGCCACGGGAAATGGCTTGAGCCAAAATGGCTACGGACTCTGGATGCCGAATTCTCGCCGAGGCCCTACTGCTCTGCCGATGTCCGCCGATCCGACTCCCCCCGACTCTGCTGCCGATTGCCGCCGATTCGATTCCTTTCGATCGCCGCTTCGTTCGACTCATCGACTGGATTCTGGGCCATCCCGCAAACGCCCACGAGGCGACAACGGCGGCAACGCCGTGCGACCTCGGCGGGCCAGCACGGCACACGGTGCTTATGATGTCCCAGCTTACTTTAGCCGTAAGTCGGGCTTGTCCCCCTACAGGAGGAATATTCAGAAGTAGTTAAAAAATAGTCAGGGGACGATTGTTTGATTATTAGTGCGCATTCTGTGTGTATTGTTTGACTCTGTTCAATTTGTCGCCCAAAATCTCCCTGTAGGGGGACAGGCCAGACTTAAGCCCACTTTAGCCTCGATCGCCAGACAGAATTTCGAGGAGCAGACAACATGCCGAAACTCTGTGGTTTTCACGTGTCGCGCCCTGGGAGACACTCGTCCGACACGGTTTCAACACCGTTTCGACACTGTTCCGGGTGCTCGAATTTATTTCTGGGATGTGGTCCGTATAAGTACGAGGGCCCCCCATACTTAGAAGGACTTGTGTTGTGTTGTTGTTGCTGCTGCTGTTGTTCTCGCTGTTGTGTTTTGTATTGTTGTTTTTGTTGTTGTTGGTGTTGGTGTTGCTGCTTGCTTCTGTGATAGGGGGGGCACGTTTGGGCACTTTGGGACACTTTTGGGCACTTTCGACTTGAACAGAGCATCCCATGAGATGCGGGCCGCATCTCATGGGACACGGCGGGCGGCGGCGGGGACGAGAGCGCCATCGACCGAGGGCGACGACGGAGACGTCGTCGTCGCCATCGGCAAGTCGTCGTCGTCGTCGTCGTCGTCGTCGTCGTC